CAGCACGTGTGCGGCATCCGACACCTGCTGATGCGCCAGACGCAGGGCAAGTGCATTCTGGACGGCCTCGTCAAGCCATCAGTCCCGCCGCCCATCGTGGCGCGTCATCAGACAGACAGACAAGAAGACAATCAATATGATGGCAGCGGGCCTCCTGACTGACTGACTGACGTGACGAGGGAGCTGCTGTGTTGTCTGTATATGTTTGGCTTGTGAATATTCACTAATGAATGGGTTTGGCCTGGGGAGACAGACAGACAGAAAGACAGACAGACATGTAGGTATTCATTTGTACATACGTACGGGTGCGGAAACGTTCATCTCATCTCGTCCATACATATCGATGACTCGACTCGATCGTACGCTACGTGTGTTTGGCTATCGCCCATCTACCCTCACTCTAATCTGTCTGTCATGGTCATGGTCATAGTCACTAAGGGCACTCTCGCTCGTGTGATGTGAAATGCAGCGAGTGGCGACGCTCTCCTGCTTGCGCAACTGTCGTATGTATGGATCGTTCGTCGAGCAAACAGAGCACCGTCGTGTACAATCCGGCACTGATCGGCTCAACCCATCGGTGAAGTGCTCTCAATGATAATCACGGTGTACCCGAGCGGCGCCAAGAGCATCGTCTTCAGCAACGGGACCCTGAAGCGCATCCACCATGACGGTAGCGAGGTGATCGAATACGTCACCAAACGCACCAACAACCAACACGCAGGATGACGGACCAACGGAGGTCGGCGCATACAAGCCACTCACTCAGTCGCTCACTCACGCATGTATGGCTGTGGGTGTTTGTGTGTGCAGGTCGGGGTCGCGATGCCGGGTGTGTGCAGACAGTGGGTGGGTGGTGGCTGTTGGGGTTTTGTAATGGTATATATGGGGCAAACGAATGTGCATGACGGACGAGTCATAGCGGCATGTGCGGTGTATGGGTTGGGGGTGGGCGGAGGGGCAGATCAATCAATGGGTTGGAGCAGTCGGTTGGAGCAATCACCGCATTTCCATCAAGCAATTAGCCCAGCCCATCCTCTCTGTACACGCAGGCAAAACGAATCGCATACACAGACCATCGCCTCACAAACAGACTCAAATCAGCCATATGGGCCGATCTTTCATTGCTCAAAGTGACCGCAAGTTGGTGAAGAGCTCGATCTCCCCTTTTTGCGAGAGACACAGCACTTACGCGTCTGGCCCGCTTATACGGTCTATAGAGGTGATCCACCCATTTCCAGCGCCTTTCTGTCTCGCTCAGACTCTGAGTCGCTCAAATGCTCAAAACGACTAAAAGGCGTCTGCTTTGTCATTCATTCAATCGGTTCTAGAATGGGTGCGTCAATCGGTCCTTGGATGGGTGCGGGAGCCCAAGGATGTCTCCGAATGTTCTACTCATCGGTGGTCTCCACACATGTACACCACTCTGAGCAAGCATGGCCGCAAGCCACGTACGTATACGTATCCTAATACATATACGTGCCTGAATGTGCCTAAGCATATCCGTATATACGTACGTGTCCATACGTATCTAAGTACTCAGCAGCTTACCTATAAATACTGTCTCCTGATTATACGTGTACGAACCCTTTCAGCGCGGGTCCCGCGCGTGACGAAAATGGAATCACCGATAGGACCGCTAGTTACAGGTGAGACACATGATTGCTTGTTCCTTGTTGTGCCGCGCGCGTGTGTGTGAGTGATCTCGGTGGATGCGTGGACGGATGGATGGATCGATCGGTGCGATTGAGAGTTGGTGATGCATGTCATCCATTCACTCATTCGTTCTGCGTGTGGGTGTGAGTGCCTTGGACTCCCCGTTGAAGCACATGCATCGCATTCATTGTGATGATTCACGGAGAGGCTGCGGAGAGGCTCCTGGAGCTAACGCAGCACACATGTGTTGCTTGATTGTCTGTGTCGGTCGGGCGGTTGATTGCCCTCATGCGTCAACATTCACATCGTTGTGTCCCCCCACTCATTGACTCATTCACTCACTCATTCACTTCCTGGCTTTTTTCCAGTCTGTTTGAATGAGAAGGAGTCTGTTTCTCGTGAGCGTGGCAATGTTTTCAACCCCCCCGCCCTCCCCTGAACCAAAAATGTGTGCGTGTGTGGATGTCGACGCGTCAGCGACTCGCCATTTCGGAGCTCACTGACACGCCCACAGCCCCACACACACGACACTCAGCACAAAGACGCATAGACTCATCTATCTGTCTCTCTACCTACAGCCACGTGTGCGTGTCATCAGTCTGTACATGTCGACCGGCTCTCTGCCATGGCCGGCCGAGACATGCATGATGCATGGCCCGCCATGGCAACGAACGAGCGCACATGTACACACCCACCCCACGCACCCAGACGAACAAATACCCACCGACTTTGGCTTGGCTCTCCATTCGCTCAGCCCAACACAGCACAAGACAAGACGACACAGTGCCAGAAGACAATCGGACGAGACGCCCAGAAAGAAACAAAGAAAGCGCTCTTGAAGACGGTCAGGTGCCAAGGCAAAACGAAAGACCCGACCCCTCTCTCGAGAAAGAGCGTGAGGTGTGAGTGAAAGAAATTAGAAAGTGAAGCCCGGAGCGATGCTACCCATGAGATGGGGCAGCGATACATACATGCACATCTCATGGCGTGTCCTGCCGTGTGTGCCTGCCTACCCGTCAATCAGTCGCTCGCATGTTGGAGCGCACCAGTGAGTGACAGGTCGACAGCCACTTCACGACACGCCCACAACACATCGATCCAGACATCCAGAAAAAAAGTCAATGAAAAAGCCAATGCCGAGCTGTCTGTTCTGTCATGTGTGCTGTACAGCCGTGGAGTATGGGACATGTGCACGTAATGAAACACTTTGGTCTTCGGCAGATCACCCACCCGTGTACCCATGTACCCTCGATGGCATGCATCATCACAGACACCGGACAAGGACGATAGCGACACGAATGGCTCCCTTCCACAGACAAATGAACCAACACAACAAGACGCCGAACGAGCTATACGCCGAACACACCGGACAGGACATACCATGTATGACTGACTCTCAGTCAGATCAATTAAAACAACCGGACGACGTCCAATCTCGTGCATGCAATCAATCAGCGCACGGGCACGCGTGTGTGTCCCACATCCATCCCCACAGACATCCAGACATCATGACATCCACAGCAGGCATGTGCGAAAAATGCGATGCGTGTACGTGAATTACGCCGAAGTACCAACGAACGAACGAAGGACCCACCCATGCGGATGTGTCCCTCCGACAGACAATCAATCTATCGAGCCATCTAGTAGCCGGAGGCCGCGTTCATGTTCCTCTCCATCTCCTGGCACGAATAGAAGCCCTCGGCAGAGGCGAGCCCAACACCAGCACCAGAATGTTGACTCTGAGACTGACTAATGGAGATACCCTTGGGGCCTGGGGTGAGAGAAAGGCACACATACACACACAGGAGAGGGAGAGAGAGAGAGAGAGAGAGAGAGAGAGAGAGGGAGAGAGAGAGAAAGATGGTCCGAGCAAAAGTGCCACCACCCCACTCCGACCGCCCTGACCTAGTTTGACGACGAAGCCCAAGTCGAAGCATGCCTTGAGTTTCAGTTCGGCGGCATGTGCCTCATCAGGATGATCGTGGAACCACTCGTGGTCGCACCCGTCCCAGTCGCACTCATCCATCCAGCAGAAGACGTCTGAGGGAGACCACAGCGCAAGCAATGCACCCAACACACGTGGGCTGTGTGTCTCTCTCTCTGTCTTGCTGTTGCGTGTCGTGGTCTGCGACGTACCAAACGGGAGGCACATCCAGCAGCACTTCCCGTCGCCGTCGTATTTGTCATGCTTGGGAGGCTTCGTCGGCTTGGGAGGCTTCTCTGCAGGCAGCACACGCACACCGACACAGCAGCCAAGGCAGGTGTCAGTCAGGCGGAGGCACGTGTCTCTCTCAGGCAGCCTACCTGTCGTCGTTGTGGTCGGTGGGGTTGGGGTTGCGGTTGTGGTCGAGGTGGTGGTCGTCGTGGGCGGTGTTGTGCTGCGTCGACGTCATTACATATACATAACCAAACAAACACAATTCACTTCTGTCTGCATCCAGCTGGGCGCACAGAGCGCCAGCCAAGGCCAAGCCTCCCTCTACCTTGTCGTCGTGGTGGTGGTGGTGGTCGTGGGGCACTTCCTGCCGCAGTTGGTACGAACGGGTTGTTCGACTTCCTGTGCGGCCGCGAAGGCAAGTGTGCCCAGCAGAGCGACGAGCCAGAAGGTCCTCATGGCTGACAGATGACCCGCGGGCGTGGGAAGGGAGGGGCAGAAGGGGAGAATGGTGCACCACGCAAGGGAACGGTCGAAGTGCACCAAGGACCACGAAGGAAATGAAATTCTGAAATTGGACCGTACACCCGTAACCGGCCGTAAATTGAGGGAACGCGAGCTTTTGTAGCTGATTCCGTTGCGGTTCTGCTCGACACTGTGCGAAAAGGCCGGTGAGGACCTTTCCTGTAGTTAGCTGAATAGAGGATCTGCTGGGCGGTAAGTCCCAGAGTAAGAGTGCTTTTACTTTAATAAGACCGATGGACTGGCCAGTCAGTCAAAGTTGTTTCTGTCCATGTATGGCATCATGAAGGGTGGTCA